TTAATCTTAAGAATTTCAAACAATTTCTCAGTTAATAAACAAACCTTGGTGCTACTTTAAGGTGTCTTCCACTGTGGAGTGTAAGAGAAATATAAATTATTTCTCTTATCAATTTAAAAAGCTTAATTTGTTGGCAACAATAAAAAAACACACATCAACCTGGTTTCATAAAAAAAATGTCTTAAAATATCTTAATAGTTTTCTTGAAAGCAATTATTTTGATAGAATGTTTCCTTTTAAGAGGGAAGAAAATATTTTTTTTTTAAATGAAGGACGCGACTTGCTGTCGCTGCTCTATTCAAACTTATCAACCATCAACCACCATTTTTAAAAGTTGTAAGGCTATGGCAAGGACATTAATGCCTTTCAGTAATGTATTGCGGCTTGTAAATGGTTTTCACAAAAGCCAGTAACTAATGACCAGCAAATGAGATACATTATTATAAAAGTACACATATGTAAAATTATAAAGTAAATATATTTTAATTTGTGTTGATAGTACAACACGATATAGTTATATACATTAGTATATATGGACACACAAATGTATACATATCCTTTGAGTTGTTTAAAGAATTTCATCATTTAAGTATATTCAGATGATTTCATGAAAATAATGGTTGTCTGCAAATATATTTTATAATTTCGTGAACATAAAATCAACATTTCAAAAGTATAGTGCATAGATAATTTCAGAGTAAATTAGGTTTTTTTTATAAACAACGAGAACAGCAAATACTTTTTTGACTAAACCATTTTATCTTATTTAAAATAATCTTCTCTTGATTTAATACAGCGATTTGTATAGTCAAAACACATATCAACTAAAAACAAATGTGTTTATGATATGTTTACCATATTCCCTACCTTAACTCAGTTATTAATTAAACCTATTTAAAACCACAGAAATCCAGCAGAATGTAAGCACATAATAAGAATGCCCTGCGCTAATGCACATACGAAATTGGCTCCTAGGAATGTATATTCTTACGGAAGAGGCAATAAAACTCTGTAAAGTAGGTTCTATACTACTTTTTATTGACGCAACAGGGCTTAAAGACCTACTCTATGCCCAGAAGGGGCTTATCTCTAACAATAATAAATAAATAAGAATATAATTAGCTGGATTAGGATTTAATATGAGCAAAAGTTTTTATAAATCTGTCTCAAATAAATTTAAAAATGACGTCATATATATTTAAGATGATACTATAACTCTTTCCATCCAATTAAGAAATGAATCCGTATATTGCTTCAGTGAATTAATTTAATATCCATGTAGTGTTCAAGTGCTTGCTAACAATTACATCTAAGTTTATGATTTGAGTACTCGTTAGTGGTTTTATGAGAACGATTTAATATAAAAAACAATATAAAATATATATATATAAAACAATATATACGAAACAATATAAAATATTCTTTGTCATTTATCAGGATTTCAGTGTAAGTATTTTGAAGGGCTTCTGCTTCTACAAAATGCTTTCCTTAAATCGGAAAAAGTGCTTTCCATTTATGAAAGAAAAAGTGGTGAATACGAAGAGCGATTGATCTTATCTACATATGTAATTATCAATATATGGTCTTACTGCAAATATCTATCCAAAGGAAGTTTCGTTAACTTTTACACATATTTCAGTTACTAATTTTTTGTGCTAGATATTTCACAATACTGTTGTGAAGTGTTGATTATTAACTGTAAAGAGAACTACTATTATATAAAAGATAGTCGAGCTATCTAAATTATTGGATGCAAATCTCATTTTTATATTTATAGTAAATAAAGTTTTTTAATTTCTCTAATATGCTTGCATTATCTTAACATATTCGACATAGTTATGGATATATAATTTTGACATTGGAAGGAAGCTATCTTTGCCTCTATTTGATTTTATTATTTTAAACTTATCTTGAAAATATTAAGTGATTGGGCTGAAATCGATTCTCCGAAACCGGCTCTATTATGGCTGCAGAAATTCCATTATAAGAACTTCTTCTACTACTATGCCGTTGTTCAGATCATGATAAAGTATCTTATTATGAATATACAAACGGACATTTATCATTTAATGAATTTTTGATTAGATCTTTGTATTATCGCAATATTAAATTTGACTCCTGCGTCCCATAATTGAATACCTTAGAACCAATATGGTTTTAGAATTGGTTTAAAATTAAGAAATTTGTTTTAAAGGGTGATTCTAGAATATATGTTCACTTATCATTGGATTTTTGTGAGCTTAAGGCTGTTGTTTTATTTTGGTTACGGTATTGCAGACGCGTTAGTTGCTATTCTAACTATATGCTAGTATTCTAAGTTATTAAGCGCTGCCATTTGCAGGTAGCAGATCTTTCTGGTCGTATTTCCTATTTTATCTAAATATTAACATAATTTTGTTTAAACTTACTTTTTATAAACTTGTACTAATATTTGTTTTTAACACTTCTATTTAATTTCATCTTGTTGGATGGCAGGTTAGATTTCACATTCTATATAATATCTTTTTAAGCATATACTTTAAATAGCTGTTACAAAATCATATCCTTAGCAAGTGGTTAATGCTACTATCTAATTAAATCAATTTCCTATGTTTATTATGTTAAATTTTTCTCACCATTTCCATCTAAAATTGTTTATTGTACTTTCGTCTTTCTGGGAAAAGGTATACATATAATCATTGACTGTGTAAAACCTTTACAAGCTGTCACTGTTTTAATATCAAAGAATCCATATTCTGCAAACTCTCCAACTTGCACATTTGGGGTCTGATGAGGTTATTTTTATTGGCACGAGCATTGTCGGTGTCAATGAATGTTGCAGAGATATCTGATGTGGCTGAATTTGTGTTTTCTAATTCGTATTTCTGCCACATCTCGTTTACTATTTTCTTTCCTGTACAGTATTTCGTGTGATGTTACTCGTATTCACTAAATAGGCTTCTCCTACACATACCAGCTCACAACACACGTATCAGAGCTTATCTTTATACATATAAATGTATTTATCATTTCTTGAACTGTTTCGAATATAGGCTGAAAATACGTAGAGGAGCAGATACATTGGTGCAAAAGTGAAGCTGAAATAATTTCAATTGAGTGATTTATCTAAACACTAATTCCCAATGAATTTCAATGATGAGAAAATAAATGTTCACAGCATATTTCAGGCTCATATTATTCTTTTTCTATTCTGTTCTGATTGTGTTTTCTTCGTTTTCTTCCTTTCGAGATTTGCACTTCAGTTCAATTGAATTTGTGGCATTTCAGTTATCGACGCGCCGACATGAATTTCATGAATTTTTGCATTGACGCGTTATGCTACGCAAGAACACACGTGTTCGTACATGTCAAAACGTGTGCCTGCCTGCAATTGTATCGTCTCCTAACTTTACATATTAATATTATGTAAATATTATTTTAATGAAATTAAATGAAAATATTCACTAGGGATACTTTAACAGAAATATTGTTACTGATAGTCGCTGTCATTGATAATTGCACTCGTAGTTGCCTACTATTTACTAAACTTCATATCTGTGAAAACATCCAGATAGAAAATTTCAACTTTCAATTTCAAAGCTTTATCGACTTCTTAAAAAGTTTATTAAATTTTTGTTGTAAAGTAATTGATTGGTTGGTTGGTTGGTTGCAGTGGCAGTAGCAGATCATTAGATAACTCCCATGTACCTCAATTATCGATTTTTCGCCGTTTTGCTACCACATTACTCGCAAGAATCCTAGTGTAGAAGAGTATTGACTAAATCCATTCCGCCGAATTTAGGTAATTTAATAGGTCTTTCGTCTTCACCGATGAACAATCTGATAAACTATCAAGAAAGTATATTCCTAAGAACCTATATCTTCTGGACGCCAAAGCCGGGCATGCACAGAGAAAATGTATTATGGCATCTTTCTCCTGCGAGTTTTCTTGAAAAATATGCATCAAAAAATCCAAGCTTTTCGATAGAGAAACTATATACATATATATAAGGAATGCATAAGCAAAGAATAAATACAAGACCAGAAAAAGTAACTACGACCACAACTCTGTAACTGCCCACCGCGTTCAGACAGTGAATGTAGTTGCTCGGTGTTACAAGATGGTATTTTTAATTCATCCCAGACTTTGCTATGATTTTCCATCCTATTACAATCATTCTAAAACAGCAAATACTGGAAATAGCACGAAAGGCTTCTGGGGTGATCAAAAAACGTTGATAGAGGCTCTTATACTAATATGTCTGGACTTCGTCAAACTATTTTTTCAACAGGCAGATGCCAGCAACAAAGAAAAGCGCGTGGTGCTAACTAAAGTCATCGAGAAGGTAAAGTATCAAAAAAAAATACTTTATCAAGAATCACAAAGGACGCATAGCTAGATAGCTTTAGCATTATAGCTACATCAATGCGATGTTTTATATCTCAGAAGCAAATCAAGCGTCGTTGCTGAAGCATTTTCTCTGGAGCCAATGAAAGAATTTAATGAGCAAATATGTAAAAATTACCAACAAAAATATGATCAAGCAGTTTTTTTCGAATTAATACTGACCTGGTATGAGAAGAGATATCGCTAACTATGCAAAAAATTATCAGTTTTGCAAGAAATACACACCCAATCAGACAAAAATGGTTGTAATAAAGTAACCACAACTCACCTAGTGGTTGTTGTTTAAGTGAGTGAGAGTATTATATACTGACTCACTAAAACAGCATCCACTAGCAACTAATTAGTACTAGCACTAAGCAAATATTTAACCGCAATGTCCCGTACAAAGTGTCAAAGTTCATGTCTCCCGTAATAGTCAAACGTGAACCAATGCGAGGGGGACAATGAATCATAGCCTATATCTCTTATCTTAGGGTAAACATTAAAAAATTAAGATAAAAAAATTTATTGAATATTTTAAACAAAAATTAGGAAAAACATATTATAAGCGAATACACAATTTTTATTGGCAAAAAATTTTCTAATAAAATAAAACTTTTCTTTATAATTTCAGTAAAAAGTAAGAAACCAAACAAAACATAATGGATCAACAACAGAAATTTGAAGCCACCGTAGCGAAATTCCGCGAAAGCTTGGAAAAAGTGAATAAGGAAAGATCTAAAGCAAAAGTTTTAACTGATGGTTGGCAGCCTACAAAGCAGAAGAACAATCGACATCAGATAGTTTACGAACCTCGTCCTCCGTTAAAAGGGCAAATGAAGAAGAAGATGCCAAATTCAAATGACAAACTATCTGTTGCGCAAAAGCGCATTCTTCAAGACAGAAGATTAAAGGCCAGGACTGTGCAGAAGAAACCAAAAATTTTACCTGAGGACAGAGTAAAGGAGAAACAACTGAAACAAGCTTCAGCAGTCCCGCCTCAATCAAACTAGCTACCAAATGGCGTTTCATTTCTAATGTGCTACCAATTTCATAAAAATCGTCACAAACTTTAATATGCATCCAGTGTATGCAAAAAATCAACAACTCCACCGTCCAAGTAGCTCCACGCACATGTAGAAAATAAGGATTAGTCGTTAAGGTACGGTAAAACGCTGAAGGAAGAAATATGTCAACAAACCCTGAAAAATAGAAAAAACAAAGAGACTAAAATTTCTAACGAAATTTTGTCACAAATAATTAGTTTTTTTTTCTCATTTAAAATTTAATTAATTACATTTACATTACAATTACATAAATTATATTTATGTGCTTTTTACTTACAGTTATTAAAATATAAATATTAACTAAACAAATTGTTGTATAAATACGCTAAGCATTAACCTCAGAAGGCATTTAGAAAGATAGGCAGTATCGATATAGTAATATTAGAACATAAACATAACTACAGTGGTAGTCTTAATTGGGACACCAATATCTTGAAATACAAGCAAAGTCAAGTTAGAAGTGTGACTTAAGACACCAGTATATGAACTATTTCAAAAACAGTTGATTTAATGCAATTATTTCTGGCTAATACTTACAATCCAATAATGTGTTTCAGTTTGATTCTTTAAGGTCTAACTCCACTAATTACATTGAAATAAAATACTGCATAGTAGAATTGAGGCTAAATAAAATAAATAAAACCTGCAGCATTCATAGGCAATCTAGTAATCTAGAAAAACCAATGCACAAAATAGCGTCAATATTCTCTGATAGTCAGATTTGTTGCTATGATTTGAATGCTAATTTGAAGAATTGATTTAATAAAACGTGCAGTCTTAGTAAAAGATCCAGTACGGTTATACTTTAGACAAAGTCTAAGGACTATAAACTGAAGCATTGAGGCTAAAGACTGAAGATGATACTGACTCTATATATGTTGGCAAATATTCACAATGTTTTTCCATCGCATATTGTGAAAAATGTAAAGAAAAGATATCGATTCAATATTCGGTGATGCTGAAAACTAGAGATGTTATACTAAAAATCTGGCCCCGTAGAAAACGCACCAAAAACTGACTTTCAGCATTCATAGACAATTTAGTAATGCAGAACTTTATATAGACTACAGACTGAAGAATGAAAGCTCAAACCTAAGAATTTTATGTAGGCACTTGAGACTATGGGCTCAAGACTGAAAGGTGTTAGCTGAAGACTGAAAGGTGTTAGCTGAAGACTGAAATTGTTATTTTCGAATTCTGACTACTTTTTTGAAGGCGTACGTTCACCATATTTTTCCATAGCTCCAATTCGCGATGAGGCTGAAAACAGAAGATGTTGTACTTAAAATCTGACTCCATATTTGAAAGTGGACAACAACAGTGTTTTACCTTCGCATGTTGGAAAGTGCAGGAGAAAAAGATATAGCTTTAAAATTCGTCAAGTTCTTGATAAGACGTTTACGCTTTATTATAGATTTAAGTAACTCACATACTTCGACAAATACTTTGGAGAATGCTAGTAAGAGTGAATTTGGAAAGCTGAGATGTGAAGGTATTAAATTTATAATCTAGTACTTTACCTGAAGGAGCAAATGTGCATTCGGGCTAAAAATGTTACGAAATTTGACAAAATTTCTAAAGTGTCACATATCAAATTATCGGACAAGAGTTTTGCGAAGGTGGAAAAATCATATTTTTATGTTAAATTAGCTTCTGCTTTTCTGATCTGTGAGGTGTAATTTATTGCTCATACTTAATATATATAAAATTAATGTGAAGAACAGACGCAATTGTTTTAAATTAAAATTAATTTTGTTTTCTTTTTTATTTCAGTTTTTGCAATGTACTTTTGTCAAATGGATCCCACTAATTTGAATGATATACCTAATTATAATACGGAATTTATGGATTTTGAGTAACTTAGTCACTTTTTTGTCGATAGATGTGGTCTGTTAATGGGGCCCGGTTTCTGTATAACAATATCTTAATTTTTTATATTTTTACGTTATTTAGAGTCAGTAAAAATAAATCAATATAAAAATACCATTTTATTATGGAATAAATTTATTAATTGGAAATGGGTTCAGCTTCGGGAAAAACAAAGTAAGGTGTGTAGTAATATAGTTATTGGTTGTTGAGTTCAGACAATTATTTATTGGAATTACTGATTAGTTAAATATAGACTAAATTACTTTAGATAACGACCGATTAATCGTAATTACTAATTACTACTCACAACACATGTTCCAGAGCACATAGTAGATAAATGGGATGTACGAATGGCCAATAGATGAAAGTATATTTACTGATAAATACTTAATACCAGGAAAAGAATTAACAAAACTCTCTATACATACTTGAATTTTAAGGGCGACTGGATGGGATAAAATTTTGTTTCTTTACCTGATCCTAACACAACTATTTTATTTTCCAATTTCCGTTACCTACTCATTAGTTAGTATTAGTTTTGTTGTCACATTAAAAGAAAGAATTCTTTTGGATTCGATGGCAAATCACAAATGTAGATGAGTTTATCTGTTTAATAAATTTATCTTCGGTATGTTATTTTGTTAATTAATTAAACTGATTTTTTGAGCCATATTAAAAATTTTTCTTTGGTGTGCGCTTTTTGTAATTACTAGAAACTTATTCGTTCAAAGTTTTTTAAATTAAAAGTATTTTCTTCTGTTCAACATAAAAAATTACTCAATTTAGCAAAAATTATTATTGCCATCTTTTTAAACAACCCACAATGTCCTGTGATGTTACCTCTATCGCACTTCCTGTACTTTGATAAGTTATTACTAATGAAGACGCTACCCACCACAAATGTTCGTTTGATAAAGGAAAAAAACAGACGGAAAGGAAAATGAATATTACGAAAAAAAATTATGATGAAAAGTGAAAAGGAAAGGAACCGATTGACTTTGGGCTTAAATAAGTATTATTTTTGTTAGGGGATGTGGCACTGCGACCGTCGGGTCTATTGTGCCCGCTTAAATAAGTAATTGTGCAGACTTTTCACTTGGATTTAATTGGCAGTCAGTAATTAGAATTCTTGATGGCATAAAATTGATACTTGCTATTGACACTTTGATTTTTGCACTTCACTTTGGTGAAGTGAAGTGGAGAGCAGGAAAGGAAATCAAGGAAAATAATACAGAAATTTAATTAAAATCTGCTTCAGTGCTCATTAAGAACTGCAAACTTTGAAATTGGCTCAGAGGAAAAAATTGTGTCAACAAATAAAACTTACTCGCTTAGCTTAATTTACTGGAACTTAGGCTTAGCACTTCTAAATACAAATATAAAACTAAAGAAAGTAATTATAAAGTTTTTTAAAAATTTAGCAATTAGTAGGTCAAGTTTAGAAACATCAGAATTATTTGACAGCCGTATACTAGGAAGACATTGTAGAGCATCCCTTCATACTTAGGCACGCTAGACCGGTTGTAAATATTAGTATATTTTTAATATTTGTTTGAAAATATCAAAAGACAAACTATCTGTAATTACTTGTAACAACCACATGTCTTACTTACTTTGTTTTAAAAAGGCAAGTCGACTGATTTTAAAATAAAATCTAAAAAATCGCAATTTGCTTTGACAGTCCCGCCGGCATTCTGTGAAGCACTGCTAGTATTGAAGTCAACAAACCTTAATTATTAAGGATTTTGGATTTCAGATTTTAAAATGGTTGATATTTACTCTCTTATTCTAATAAAACTTAAGTAAATAATAAATATAGCAGATGGAAGATGGAAATAAACAGAGTATTGACTCCAGACGTAAAGATGCACTACAAATATGGTCCTTCATGATAGAAGGCACTCACCCTCTTAAATGAAGACCTAAATGTCATATGTTGGATGTTTGCCAATATCAGGCAGAAATGTATATCACCTGCTAAAATTTTCCTAATACCAGACATAAATGGGAACCCCCGGCCAGATCAGAACGACCCATCAGATGATCAAGCAAAAACCTCAACTCTGTAACGAGGCATCAGCTTAGTCTGCCGGTTATCCGAAGCGTCGCATCAACAACGATTCTTTCTAGTGATTACTTATAACTTTGTTTCCTTTTTCAAACTTCCGTATCACATAAAAGGCTAGATACGATAAGGAACTTGTAAAACATAATTTCTGATAGTTGGAAAAGGTTTTTATATATCAAACGACTTCACTTATTTATATAGTGTAGCGATGAGAGTCGCTTAAAGTCCCTGACATCATTAAAGGCCCAAGCATATTTATGCCATTCAAATTCTTAACTCTTAGGTTCTAACTTCTGACAGTTGCCAATTCCAAATAAGGTTTTTAAAGTAAGTTTACCTTGTTAGAAACATCAACTCTCAAGGCGAATTAGGGACATCAACTGTAAACTTAATCTATTTAACGTAAGTTGCAGCGAGAACTAAACTTGAACGCATATTTGAAGGGAAATGACTATTTTTTTGAAGACATACAAAATCGTTGTGATATAAATATATATAATATGTGTAATGAATTTTATTTTTTCACTACTAGATTTTGTGTATGTTAGCCTTTGTCACATAAAAATTCTTTTCAAGCATAATTTTCTAAATTTCATTAAATTATTACTCTTAATATTAATTTCTTCTTTCTTTGAAGCTCTGAGCGCCCCCAGCTCTTTCCGCAATATTCGAGGAGCACATATTTTAAATAAAATATTTACAATTAAAACTCAACGACACACAAATGAAAAATCCATAAAAATCAAATTTTACGCAAGCATATTTTGAAGCACAGCTTTAGGCGTTTGATAGAATTTTATGTTTGGTCTGACGATTAGCTGCTTTGTTGGCGTTTTTGTTATGGTTGTGTTTAATTTAAGCACGGCTTGCTTAGTTTTTGTCATTTCACAAGTGATTAACGTTTGACGATTAGGGCAACAAATCATAAGAATCCTGTAAGAAGAAAGAAAAAATTTAAAAAAAAACTGAAAAATATAAAAAATGTGAAAAGTATGAAAATTAAGTGAAAATTTAAACAAAGTCAATTGCTTTCATTTTTTTTTACTATTCTTCTGCGATATTTTCTGGTCAATGAAGAAAATTATTGTGGAAAAAGTTCAAAGCACTTAAGAGCTGCTAGCAATTTTTTATGCTAATTTAATGAATAAATTATTTCAATCTATTTGCTAATACTAAATGAAATGAAACTCATTAATTATCATTCCTTTGTAATACTAATGAGATACGAGTCGAGTACATAAATGACAGGTAAAAAATAATTAATCAGAAATAGAATTTTTTATTTGTTATAAAATTAACATTTAGTGAAGGTAATGTAAAATAATGTAAACAACATTTAATTATTTCCAAGTTTACTTAAAACATAATCTTTAACATTATCCTACAGATTGGCCACAAGTAGTAAAGTGAACACTATTGCATTTATATATTCAATATGATTTGCTTGCTAATCTTCAAATAAACTGTATTTACCAAAAAGAAATCTATACAATGGTTTCCGACTCTCCACCAAGTGCATTTAAAGAAATGGTAAGAATGCAAAGTCCTTACTATGAACTTTGAAAACAGTTTGTCTTGTTCCTCTTCTTTGGCTCCTCCATCTGTCCCTATCTTCTGCTACTCTCTTCCAGTTCAGTACTCAAACCATTCTTGCATCACCACACACGTACTCATCCCATCTTGTTCTTGGTCTATATCTGTGCATAGTTGTCATTGGCTTTTCGTTGAATATGCTGTTCGGCTTTCTCTCCGACCCCATTCTTATTACATGAGCAGCCCATTGTAACCTTTGCGACTTAATGTATCTCACTATATTTTTGTTTCTAAGCAGATCTACGGGTCAATTCAAATTGATGCAGAAACTTTTCAAACACGACCAAAACTAGTTTGTCTAAAATATCAAATATTTGTGTTGCAAATAGGTCCTTTGTAAGTATCAAGTATCGTTCTCCCACAAAGAAATTCTTAATATGTATTTTTTTCGAAAATTGCTAAATGTCAATCTAAATGGTTATTTTAAAATTAATTTGCACTTTCATTAGAAATATATATAATTTTCTCGATGAGATTTACTAAAATCTGTAAATTAATAGACAATTAACAATTCCAATCAATGGAACTCGACTCCATTGATTGAATAATTTTAAGGGCATCAGAACGGGCAATAGACGTTTTCGAATGAGAGCATTGATAATTCTATCTTAACCTAATCTAACTCAATTGTTGTCAATATTTTTGCGTTTTGAAATTTTGCTGTTATTTTTTCATTAAGACTCAATGGATTAGATGTGTTTTTTGTATATAGTGTATATATTGTTTATATGTTTACCATATTTTAGAATTGAATAAAATTCTTTTTATTTTAAAATTTTTACTCTAAAAATAATAATCATAGTATTGTTTAAGCAAGAATACATATTATTTATACGAATACTTCCATTTTTATTCTACTTTAACAAAATACATAGAATATCGCTACACTGTCTCACTTGCAACAAACTTTTGAAATATAAATGTCTAATTTAGCTTACAATTAACTACACCAGTACATTCACTTGCTCTCGAACCTCAAGCAGTACTAACAGGATAACCTTAAGCTTCATTAAATACTACTATTAACAAAATTTAGAATATAAGATAAAGTGTCAAATGGAAACATATCTATGCTCTACAAATGCTAAGCACTTTATTTGAATTTGACTCACAAACGTATATAGAATATATGAGTATTTAACTGGTATTCGCTTGTAGGAATAATGTGTGTTGTCAAGTCTAATGCGTGGCCATAACTGGTTGCCTAATGCCTGTCCATAACAGGATTACAATGACACAAAACCAATTCGACAACAACTGTTTCAGCAAGGACAACCATATTAACTACAACAAATGAACGCAAACAAAATATGTTCTAATGCTTCCTTGAATGGACCAGTAACAATGCGTAACAATTTATACACTAAATT